TCAGGGCGGCCAGGTCGTCCTTCGGGGTCCACTGCCGGAGCAACACCAGACCCACAGCTGCAGTCATCTCCCTGCACGGCCGGGGGGCTGTCCCCGCAGACACTGGGGCTCCCTGCCCAGGGCCCAGCCCGCAGCCCTGCGTGCTCCCGGGCAGACAGGCTCACCGCACAGTGGCATCCCATTTGGCCCAAACCCTTCAGACCCGGTGCAAATGGCTCTCACCTGCAGGTTCACAATGTATAGCTTTGGACGACGAGTAGGTGGCTTGCTCATGCACCAAAGATGTGGGTATTTTTTCAAAACCTGCCACAAAATAGAGGTTATCAGTACAGCCAAAGGCACACGTAACCGTGAACCGTAACAGTGAGAGGAAAAGGAATGTATTACCAGGAGGGGAAAGAGGGAGGAAGAGAGACTATCACAGATGGTGGGCGAATCCTGACACCAGAGTTTACAGTTGTCTGTTTGGGAGGAGACTGCTCAGCACCAAGGTGTATCACCAAGAGGGAATGCTGCTAACAATCTTCACCGAGTCTCTAAAGTTACCTTTAAGCTGGAACCCAGACAAAGAATCACATCTGCTTTGCTTGCAGCTTCTGTTGCTGCTTCCCAGTTCAGGGGCTGTCTCAATGTCCCCTTCTCCCCAAAGTGGACGATTGTATCTCTCAACTGTGCCCCACACTTGTGGCACATCCTGCCAGTGTGATGCCTGTGCAGGGCTGTGCGCTCTGTCACATCAAATACTCGCACGTACTCTCTGTTGGGTGTACAGGAAGTGCAGACCTGGTGCAGGACACAAGCAAAAAAACATTACATCATTAGCATCTAGCCCATGAAAGGCCAGGAGTCAGCCGCTTCTCTCAGAAGAAAACCACTTTTGGGGGACAATAAATTGGAAGCAGTACGAGGGATCATCAGGGATCAGATGCTAACTTGGAAAAGTTTGGAAAACCTCAACTAGCAAGTGGAATTACATGGAGCCTGTTGGCTATGTGATAGGAGGGATTTCAGAGAAGGTCTGAAGAAGAGTATTCAGAAGCAGAAGACTCTAGCAAGCACAGAGAAAAAGCTACAGAGCTGTACAGAACACTTTGTTTTGGTACTTGCTAACTAGTTCATGCCAAACCTGATGGCCTGAAGATACGAACTAAGCAGAGGCTAGCCCTTGTACGAATTCTTCTTGAGCTAGTGATAGGCAAATAGTTTACGTCATCTTCTTGTGAGGCCACTAGACAGTAACTTTATCCTGTTCTGGCCACTCACCTCTATGTACATGTTTCCATGAAGCTCGGATATTGCTGCTCGGGGTAACCCGCTCCGCAGGTGCAGCCCATCACAGTTTTGAGACACCACATGCTGCACCTTGAAGAGAATAAAACACTGAGCTAACATGCAGACACAGAAGACTCTGAAAGTATTACTCAAATGCAGGTGACGTGTATGTCTCAATACACACCAAACAGTCCCACATATCAGAGCAGAACCAACAGAAGAAAAGTGTGGAGGACAGACCTTTATGAAAGCTAACTGAAAAGACTCCTCCTGCTAAATAGAGCTCTCCTAGGTCTGGCTGACTTTGTGGCCAGGTCTCTAAACCAGCCTCACCAGGAGGCAAATACAAGGGACTAAAGAAAAGGCACCAGGGCAAAAACTGCCAGAGCTACAGTCTGGAGCTAGCCTAAGACTCAGCTGTATGGGAGCACAGATGCTTTTTCCTACATGGATGCGTAGCCAACTGAGTAAAAACATTAGTTAGGCAATCTCATTAAAAGCTTTTTTTCCCCTGTTGGGTTTTATTTATCATACTTAGAGGGACACAAGGTGCTGGGGGGGGGGGGGGGGGGGAAATCTTACCAGGTTGTGCTTGTGTAGGCAGGCAATGCTCATATGGGTGAGTGTGGGCTCTGCCTCACTCAGATCTGTAGCCCTGACGAGAAGCAAGAAGCAGCTGGAATTACCATTAATCTCTCTTTCAGTATCAGCTTTGTGTTACACAGCTCAGAATTTGCCTCCTTACCTGATACTCCTGCCCTTCTGCAGCAATGTCCATATGCCATTAGGGCCCCTGTAGTCTGGGATTGAAGCTGCCTGTGTTATCAGGAGAGAAAAAATGATGCCTGAGGGGAAGGTTCATACCTCATGTCCACCCACACAATCAGATACACCTCATTCACAGGTGCTTTTTCATTCACTCCAAGTTTTCTAGTTCAATAGTTCCCTAAGTGCAGGAAAGCCTTCTTTTCGTTTTCTTTTTCTCTCTCTCTAGCATCTCTTCTCCAACCTTACAGCTCTCATTTTCACCTCCAGTATTTATTTTCTCCAATTTTACCATTATGGAATCTCTCCAGAACTCTTTTCGACCCTTGGTACTTCCCACTTCCCTACATTGAACTCAATTCTTGAACCTTTCCTTATTTTCACTAGACACTGATTTCTGGTACCTTGCACTCAGTATTCTTTAGCAAAAATACTTGTCACATTAGCACCCGTAAACTCTGCCCAAAATCATGCTGTGGATCAGCACAGACTGTAGAAAAGGGAAAGAAAAATAAGGTTCCCATCTCAGTAACATATATCACATTAGAAGACGCAGAATCAGATTTCTGCTTTCCCAGAGGCCACTGAAACCAAACATTTCTTAAACCATCATTTATAAGTTCTGATATCCACCAGCTATTCCTACTTGTCCGTTAACACAGACAACACGTTTTTAGGTTTTACAGCAAATGTAGTTGAAGAGACTTGAGTAAAGTAAGACTAGCGATCTTCTCATTTAAGAACCACATTCTTCACACAGTCACAGAGGTGATGCAACCTCGGAATCTCTTGGGCAGCAGGCACAACCCCAAGATGTAAACTAGCCATTGTCTTGGACAGGGTTTGCAGTGCAGCAGTGTTATCATAGCATCCCAGACTAATACCACACATCACGTAGTCATTTGGAAACCACAAAAATAGTCCTAACAACATTGCAACACTCCTGAAGGAGCTCCCACAGCTCCAGCCACTCACCCCCAAAGAATCCTACCGTACTGATCCCAGCTCCTGTATAGATGACAAGGTGCTTCGCATTCCGGACAGCAGCAGCCAGCTCAGTAGCCTTTCTTTTTAAGACCTCTGGTTCGTCACATACCTAGAAAATACAACTGAGCAAGTTTGCATGTTTCTGAGATACAGTGCATCACTGAACTGGAAGAAACAGGCAGCTCCCTGGAAGTTTTAATATGGGCCTAGCCTAGCCAGAAAAAGCAACACAAACATTATCAGAAGTGGTTTCTAAATAAAAGAACACGGGTGTTGTCCATGGAAGATCAAGGGGAAAAAGCTTCCTGGATAGCAGCACATGCAGATCCATCCTCCCAAGAGACGTGCGTACACAGCACACATGCAGAAAACTGCATGCATTTGGAAAACACACGAATGTGGCAGCC